GTATCAAAAATAATAAAAAGAGCAGAAAACCTAAACAAAACGATCCCAAAGAAACACTTCAATGGTCTGAGGCTAGCGAACAGGCATTTACAGATGCCAAAAATTCACTAGCTACCGCAACTCTTCTTCGTCACCCAATTCCAGGAGCCAAACTTAGTGTTTGGGTTGATGCCAGTGACCTGGCAGTTGATGGTTCCTTGATGCAACTCAACACAACCAACTGGGAACCGATTGCATTCTTCTCTGTTAAGCTCACCAACAGTCAACAAAAATTCTCCACCTATGATCGAGAACTATTGGCCATTTACACTGCGGTGAAGAGATTCCGGCACATGCTCGAAGGTCGGAACTTTATCATTTTCACTGATCAAAAGCCTCTTATCTACGCCTTTAAGCAAAATTCAGAGAAGTGCAGTCCGCGCCAATGGCGTCGACTTGATTTCATTTCTCAGTTTAGCACTGACATTCGTCATACCAGTGGTGTTAATAATAGCGTTGCAGATGCATTATCCAGAATTGAGATAAACAACATCTCAAATTCCTCATTTCTTGATTTTGAAGCCTTTAGTCACGCTCAGAAAGCTGATGATTTACAAAATCTGCAAAACAGCAATCATTCACTAGAAATAAAGTCCATGCCCAGCCCAGTGTCAGCAACAGAACTCATCTGTGATGTATCAACCGGAATTCCAAGACCTATTGTGCCAGCATCTTTTCGTAAAATAGTGTTTGACCATTTTCAGAACCTCTCGCATCCAGGAACAACAGGATCTTGCAAATTAATTTCTGCTCGCTATGTTTGGCCCAATATGAAAAAGAATATTAAAGACTGGGTAAAAAGTTGTGATGCATGCCAGCGATCCAAAGTTCACAAACACACAAAAAAAACACCTCTGGGTACATTTGCTACACCAGACGCACGACGATTTTCTCATCTGCATGTGGATTTAATCGGACCCTTGCCTCCTTCAGAGGGCAAAATGTACTGCCTCACCATCATCGACAGGTTCACCAGATGGCCTGAAGTGATACCCATCGCTGATATGACAGCAGCAACAGCATGCAGAGCCTTGTTCGAAGGATGGATATCCCGCTTTGGATGCCCATCTACCATCACCACAGATCAGGGTCGCCAGTTTGAGTCACCTCTGTTCAGTGAGCTCACACAAATTATGGGAACAAGAAGAATTCGTACTACAGCCTTTCATCCCCAAGCAAATGGCTTAGTAGAACGTTTTCACAGAGTCTTGAAAAATTCTTTAAAAGCCCATGAAAACCCAAGATGGACTGAATCATTACCAACAGTTCTCCTTGGCATTCGAGCTGCTGTTAAAACAGACATACAAGCATCAAGTGCTGATCTTGTGTATGGAACTTCACTAAGACTTCCAGCAGATTTATTTTCCCAAAGTGCCCAAAATACAACTCCATCTTATGAGTATGTGCAGAAACTCCAGGCACAAATGCAGCAGTTAAAGCCATTTCCCAACCAAAATCACCAAACAAGAATCTTTGTGCACCCAGAATTGCAAAAGTGTACACATGTTTTCCTTCGTGTGGACAAAATAACACCACCGCTCACTCAACCATATACAGGTCCCCACAAAGTCATAAGTCGAAGCGACAAAGTTATAAAAATATCCATAAATGTCAGGCAAAGCAATGTTTCCCTAGACAGAGTGAAACCTGCATTCATATATAATGATGAAATACAACAAATTCCTCACGAGCATGAACCTAAAGTCCCAGGAAATACTACTGGAAACTCTGTCAACAATTCCAAAACCACAAAATCTGGATGAATTGTGAAATTTAGCAAGAGACTCATCACAGAAATTGGTTAACTTGATCATAATTACTCTTGAGTTACTCGATTTTCAATGTTCATCATATCACAATTATTCTCTACAAATTTCAGAACTGAAAAACCTTTATTTTCATTTATTCATGTCAATTAGATTTAACCTGTATTACTTTATTTTGTTTTCTACTTTTATTTAATTTCATGTATGTAAGTGATTTCAGCAACTGACACAACCCAGCATCCCAATTCCCTTTTGTTTATGCTATGTATGTGTAAATACTGTCGTTCTTTCACTTCGCTTGTTCACTGGGGGGATACTCTTGTTGTGGTTTATCTTATTTGAAAAAGTCTAAAAAAAATATCATACCAATTTAACCCCAGAACAGCTGAGAGATGGCAGCATATAATTACAGACCACAAAATTCTATCCCAAGATTCTCAAGGAGAGAGTCAGTCGTCGAACGCGCGCGATGGTGCACGTGTGTAGTTTGGAGGTGAAGATGAAATAAAAATTGTTAGGTTTGAAATGTTGAATCTAATTGATCTTCCTAAATTTAATTCTTACAGTAGACTTGCACACAAAAGCTCTCTTTTTTTTTTTCTAAAAATTACTATTACTTATAAATTGTTATTTAATTTTAAAATTTTAAATGTTATTATTTGCCATTATAACGTGTATAAATGTTATACCAGAAAAATAATGAAGAATATGATAGGTCCGAATAAAGAAATAGCCGTAACATAAGTTTTAGTTTTCTTTTTGGTCAAATCTATTTTATTCCAAATTTTCAATCAATTGCATATAAGATATTATTTAATACATTATGAAGATCAAATTGATACAATTAGATTTTTATTTCATTGCTTAGCATACCATGTTTTTTATTTAAATATTTTCTTTTAAATAATATTAAAAAAGATGCCTTTATAACTGAAATATTAACTGGTGAACTACGTAATTTTCCCCACCTGTGTAACAAAGGGTTAACACTATTACTCCCTGTATTAGTATATTAAATACCTTAGTATCACACAAGACATCCCACCATTAATTTATAAATTTCAAATGCCTCAAGTTACACTAATCCGTTTATTGCTCCCCACAGCATTTTCTATCTTAAACATGCTATTCACTTAGGTGCACTACATTTTATAATCAGTTATACTAATCTTCCCTGGGCTAATGCTATTTGTACACAAAATTAAAAATTTAAAATACACACAAACACTTTGAATACTCTCTATTCCAGAAGACTGTTCAATTTTCAAGATGTTTGTTTATCAAATTAAATTTTCCTAAGTCTTTTTCATGGGGAAAAATTTATTATTATTTTTCTTATTAGTCTGTGATATATTTGTTGGACAAATACATAATAAATGTGTTTTTGTTAGATTAACTGCTGTGCTTGTGGTTAAAGACAATTAGCTTTGACTCATGTTACAGAAATTTAAAAAAAATATATATATTATGGTCAAAGGGGCAATTTTTTTTTTTTCGTTTTGTGCGTTACCTTTATTTATTAAATATTATGTTCTTCGGACTTAAACCATAAAATTCAGTTCAACAGAAATATTACAAAATATTTAAAAGAGCATATCTTTAAATTTCTGATACACAGTCTCATGCGCTGGGGGAAAAAAAAAAAAAAAACCCTGCCCCGTACAGTGTTGCAATTCCTCACTTTGAAATCGTTGAGTTTCTTTATCAAATAAATGCTTTATAAAATGCGAAATAGATAATAAAAGACATTCCAAATTTGGGCTTCCAGGTGCCCACATTCAGGTGTAGATGTAAGTTATTAAAAATTTGATGGTTCTAGAGATACTGCTGTTTTATCACAGTGCGAGAAATATATATGTTTATGCAGATTCTTCATTATTTAATTTCTTTAAATATAATATAGGGCTCTAATAATTGGTGGCAACAATTTAAAAAGTGATTTGCCACCTATAGTGAATCGACGCAAAATGCCAAAACAAAATTAATACCCTTCTGGGGTAATTGCCCCTTTGGGCTAAAAACTGAAACCACAAAACTTGGATTTTTGTCCAGGAAAAGAAAATTTAGCACATAAGATTATTTGAAGAGATATGGTTACACAATTTAACACCACACATAACAAATGGATTCTGTGATAACAGCAAAATACAGTAACTGCCTAAAGTATGGGAAGGAAGACTTTTTAAGGCCAACTGGCTTGTACTCACATTAGACAAGAAAATACAAATGTAACCAGACAGTTCACTGGGATTTAAACCTTAAGTCACTAGGATGTTTCATGAAACTGCTTTCATGTTTACAAGTCTTTAACTCTTAATTTCTTTGAAGACCAAAACAACCCAGAGGGCCTTTCATTCAGATGACCACAACCACCACAAACAGCCAAAATTCCCATATTATTTTCTTCCCTCCTCTAACGTATGCAGTAGCAGGTGCAGTTTCCCCAAATGCTTTATATCAGTTTATTGCAGACAGCTTGCCCTAAAAAGATTTATTTCTGGTTTCTTATTTTTATTTGTTAGAAGTATAAAGATTGTCATTTGAAATCTTCACTCTTCTTTGTGTGCTAATGGATGGGGCAGAGAGAGAAATGCTGTGACTCTTGAAAACCATTTTGGGAGGTTCGGTATTTTAACATACAGGTTAGTGACGGCTTTCGTTTTCAGAGTGTTAAATGCAAGAAAAGTCCTACATGTTTTAGGCTAAAAATGTATGTGTGCCAAAGTACAATTAAGCACAATTTGAACATTCAGTGATGTGTTAATACAAAACACATAAAAGAATTCTTTAAATAAGATTATTTTAAATCAGAACATATGGGCAGAAAAACTAAAAAATGAGAAAGTATTTCATAATTTCTAAACTATTAATTTAAATAAATTAGTGTAAACTGATAAGAATAGCAAAATCATATGAACATAAATTTAAACATAAAAAATATTTTTGAATATAATGAAAAATATCACATAAAGCTTAAAACTTTTGTGCTAGATTGATAATTACAATAGCATAATTGTTTTAAAATAAACTGCTAGGTCCCCAGAAGGGGTGAAAAAAACCTGCTTGAAAGCATTTCACTTTCAAGCATTTCACTCAAAAAACTTTATCATACTTCATATTTCACACCATACTTCAGAAATACAGAATCTTTAAAAAATAATACCTACAACATAAAAGACTGAAAAATATACTTACTTTACCAGATTTTGTGAGCAGCACAACTCTAAGCTCTAATCCTCTGCCTTCTCTAACACCAGCCACATCACATCGAGAGTCCAAATGCCCGCCAACAACTGATAACTTGACTATTTCCAGCTGCCTATTAAATAATTTATAAAATGGAAATTATTAATAGATACTAAAAAATAAATTCAGATTTATAACACAGTATCAAAAGAACTACTTACATAATGTTATTGAATTTTATTGATAAAAAATTGGAATAATCTAACAATGCTTCTACATAGGAGGTAATGCAAACACCGTATTCCAGGCACTGGCCAATGAATTAGAAATCTTTGAGATTTTCATGTAAATGTGTGCTAGCGATGAAGTATGCAAATTTTTTTTTATGACATGGGCTACACATGGTTAGAATGCTAGTATAAATAACTTTTGCAAATAATATAATTTATAATAAGTGCTTTTCACGATAAATGAAGTAAAATGGAAAAAACAACAGATCTTTCACCATTTGAAAAAGGGCTTATAGTTGCTGCCTGTTTAGCAGGGGATTCAGTTTCAAAGACAACAAATCTCACTGGGTTCTCAAAAGCAGCCATATCAAAGGTTTTCAAAAGTTGGAATCAGAACCCACAGTCTTTCTTTAGAAGACATAACAACAGTTTGAGCACAGTTTTCCAAGAAAGTGATTGATGAATCTCCGATGAATTGTACAGCAGTGTTTCAACTGATACAGATCATCAACCAAGGCCCTTCCCAACAGATTTCAGCTCGAAACATGCACAGAAAATTTCAGAGAATAGGAATGCACAGTTGAGTGTTTGTGAGAAAAACCACTCATTTCTGCCATACATGCAAACATTAGTTCGCAGTGGTGTCGGGAAAGAAGACACTGGACATCTGAGGATTGGAAACAAGTAATGTGGTCGGATGAATCATGTTACACCTTATTTTGAACTGATGGAAAACGTAGAATGAAGCCATGAAGCCACGAATCTATCCTGTGTTACTCATATTGTTCAAGGGTCTGGTGGGAGTACCATGATATAGGGCATGGTCTGCTGGCATGGAAGTGGTGCCCTGATGTTTCTCGAGAGTAAACAAACAGCCATGGATATATTGGCAGATCAAGTGCACCCTGCAATGCTGCATTTTTACCCTGATGGCAACAGATACTTCATGGATGATAATGCAACTATACATCATGCCAGAAGTGTTCAAAATTGGTTCACTGAATATTAGTCTGACTTCAAAACACCTTCCCTGGCCACTGCATTGCCTGGATCTTAACCCCATAGAAAATGTGTGGAATATAGTGGAAAGACACAACCTGCAGCACTCTCCTCTTCCTTTTAATTTATAAGATCTAAAAAACTGCATAGCCAATGCATGGTATTCTCTGGACCTAAATGCACTCCAGAAGTATGCAGACTTGATGCCCAAATGAATAAGAGCAGTTATCCACACAAAAGTGGTCCAATAAAATATTGAGCTTGGGTTTCTAGTTCATTGGCCAGTGTGTGTATATGAAAGTAACATTTCCAACTTGGAAACTGCTAACAGCAACTTATCCATCGAACAAAACAACAACAAAAAAAAAAAAAAAAAAAAAAAAAAAAAGACTCATATATGAAATATATGTACAAGTTAGTGTAGTTCACGGCAAAATTAAGCTTGAAATTAGTAATGACATAATAACCTGAATAATAAGAAAAATATCAACTGGATTTTTCCAAATCAGATAAGCTTAAACTATTCAAAAATCTAACTTGCATAATGCATTTGCAAGGATATTTTTTTACGGCAGATTAAAACTGAAAACTTTACCCCTTTTTTGCCTTTCTTTTGAGGTTTATTATGGCATATCGCTAACACATATCACTAAATTGAAAGCTATAACAGAAAGTTTTCAATGTTTATTACTTTTGAGTAAATTAGACCTCTAGTAAAATAATATTTATTGTCTCTTGTTGCTGCTTTTTCTTCAATGTTTATAAATTATACAAAATTAACTGTTCCTCTGAAATGACATTCTATTCTTTTTTGATCACTTGTTCATCGGTGGCACATGACTCTCCATTTTCTAAAACTAAGTGCCTGCTTCTTTTAATAGAACTTCTTATGATTATGTTTCATGAAGAACAATTCAACTCACAGAAACCAAATATGGGTGTTTGTGAATAGCGCTATGTTTCATCTTCATAGCAAATAAAGATTCTCCACATGAGAGTTTTCTTGTAGTAGACTTTTGCACAATGAAAACCAGTGGCTGAAGTTTATTTATACAATTAATAGGAGAAACAGCACTCCTGAACAACAATACAAAAAAGGGAAGGCAAGCCAGAACACTGTTCCTTAATTTAAAACTATCTACTGCTTCTATCTTTTCATTTTTCTGCCAAATATCATTAACACTGCATTTTTTAAAAAACACATAGTGGAGAGGTATACTAGGAAAAGGTAAAGTGAAAATTTCTGTGAGATATAAGGGAAAAATAACTTTCAAATCAAGAAGCACAAAGAAAAATCAATTTCATTACTCTGTCATATCTCAGGCTGGTAATACTGAAAATCGAAACATAACACATATATATTAAAATAAAATACATATCAATGAAAGATTGCAGTATTTACACAGAATGACAAAATTCTGTACTGATGCATTCAGCATTAAACTCCAGAAAACACTGTTACACATTTTGATTAACAAATTAAGTAAGTGGAAAGCAACAAACAAAATCAATCAAATAAAATACAAAATGTAATATGTACAATCAGATAGATAGATTCGCAAATAAAAACGACATTATGTACAATTGTTTATAAAATAATATTTCTTAAACTTTCAGCTGCTCAAATAATTTTCTAAAATTAAGTTCTGGTTGTAGTTACTTACATAATTTCAACTCAATTACACATTTTTCAGTTTTCAGTTATTGCACAATGAATTCTTATTCTTTGGAGTTAACCTATTTTTATACAAGTATGCTACCTTACTCTCTTAATCCTTGATTCTGATATTAGACTGCTGCACAGATTTTTTTCTTTTGACATACAGTACAAAGTCTGTAATCCGGATATCCATTAACCGGAATGATCTATTATTATCTGGATCTCAAAACCACAAACTTTTTTTTTTGTATGCTTTATGCATGTACGTTTAATGTTTACACATGTGCATTTAGCACAAAAAACAAAGCAACTTAAACACCTTACATTGAAAGAAATGTTTAATAAAGTAAATAAATAAATATTAAGCTTTTTTTTTTTTTGTAAATTTTGATACCCTTTAGATCATCATTGTTCTTTATTTCATAAATTATGGTTTCATATTTTTAATTGTATAATTTCTGCATGCCATCTTACCAGATTTAAATTGATGATCTATAATCCAGAAAAACCCTTAATCCAGAATCGCCGAAGTCCCGACGAGTCCGGATTACGGACTTTGTACTGTATAACATTTCAGGTTGCTAGGTTCCATTATTTAATGTAGTTTTTAGCAATACCGTCAAACATCTAAAACTGCTGGATACTAAGCTACATTATAATGGGTAGCAAATTATATGCCATCCACTTCCAATAAGATTTGAATTAAAACATATGAAATCTGTTGTATTATGTCAGAAGGACCTAGATAATTATCTATGCAGAGAGGTCAAGTAGTTTCCATTCATGAAGAAAAGTTACTATGCTTAATGCATAAATTGTGATTGCTTTTGCCTATGGACAGAAATTTACTCATATTACCTCATGAAGAATTAAAAATGATCTATCAGCTTCTATATGCTACGTTTTTATGACTTAACTTCATATACAGCTACAGCATCAACTATAGAACCTACAGATGTACACAATATAGCAACTACATCATTGCTTAAAAGTTAGATTAATGTCTGTCTTTGAATAAATTAAAAAAATAATGAAGAATCATTGTACTTTCAAGGAGGACAATGAAAATCAAACATAACATTAATTTTATGATAAGCATCAAACTGATTCTTCGTTTGAACACCTTTAAACTGTTTGAAACAATCTTGCATTAAATGTCCATACATTAACAGCATATAATAAACAACATTCAACTGAGTGTTATAAAAGAGATTCAACCCATCCCAAATTTTCCAAAACTGTCATGATTTTGTTTTTTTCTTTTAAATGCCAAAATGATCCTTGTGTTTTATACCTGGATTTATGTATTTATAACATGTTGCTTTGGTTTTTTGGACATATTTAAAGATGCACATATTTTGTGTGAATATTTATGTATACAAAATATTCGGGCCATATATATGTAAGGTAAAAAATATAAAAGGAAACTTCTAAATTTAATTCACTATAACCTCTTTTATCTTTTATTTTATTTGGGAACTTCATCTATCTGTCCTAAAAATAGCTTTTAAGTCTAAACTGTGCCATTTAAATTAATCATGCAATCTCACGTAACCCTTAATGCAGATGCCTCTTAACCAATCACCAAATTGTAAACCGAAACTAAAAACTGAAACTTTTGACTCCCTCCCCCTTTTTTATGAACTGATGCGCCACTTTTGCTTGTGCTTTCCTCTTTGCCAGATGCCTGTCTGCAATCATGTATGTGCTGCTACTTTTGCTTCTATGGCAATAACATCAAAATTATAAATGTTTCTTTAATAGGCACAAGTGGAGTGCCAAGCGAAATGTGGCCACAAAATGAGAATTTAAATAAAAAAGGAATTTAATCCGGCTTGACTGCTTCTTCAAAAATGGATGGAAGTTCTAAGCATCAAGTATCTACGCAACTAGTATTTTTACGCATCTACGTCTCAGCGTTCGTATTTCTATGCCTCCAAAATTGTTCTGTCATTACATTCTTCGACCAGCTCTAATTCTGAAGAAATCTACACGGGTTTGTTATTCTATGTTCACAGTAAATTACGGGAAAAGTCCTGTTTCACCGAAAATTTTAATGCAAGTTTGTGCCGCATTCATAATTAAATCTTTCATGTTGTGTCATCGAACCACAGCTTCATTACAATAAAATGGTGCAGCCGATTTTTGACCCACAGGTGTGGAACTCCCATTGCAGTTTATTTCAACTAATCTCACATCGTTTAACCAATACATAAAATAAAATTAACTGTTCATCTAAATTCT